GCGTGCGGCCAAAAATCATTGAAAAAAAATATAAAAATATATAGAAAAATAAACCTCCCCCCCCCACACCTCATCCTTTCCCTTCCCCTCTCCCCCACGCCCAGCAGTAAAACGGGATGGGGAAACCTGAGGGGCGGAGGGAGGGGGAAGGAGGGGGTGAATTTTTGTGCTCCCCTCGGTGCGGTGAATGCCGTAAGGGGCTGCGAGGCTCCGGGAAGCGATCCGGGGCTGATGTCGGGGTCCGGGTGCCCGATATGGGGCTCCGGTAACAGATCCGGGGCTGATGTCGGGATCCGCGTTCCCGGTTCGGAGCTCCAGGTGCCCGATTTAGAGCTTCGTTAGCCCGGTTTGGGGCTCCGGGTGCCGATACGGAGCTCCGGTACCGATCCAGGGCTGATGTCGGGGCTCCGAGTGCTCGGTTTGGGGCTCCGGTACCGATCTGGGGCCGATGTCGGGGCTCCGGTGCCCGGTTCGGAGCTTTGGATGCCTGGTTTGGGGCTCCGGGTGCCCCGTATGGAGCTCCGGCAACCGATCCGGGGCTGATATCGGAGCTCCGGTTCTCGGTTTAGAGCTCCGGTAATCCGGTCTGGGGCTCCGGTCCCGATCCGGTGTTGATGTCTGGGCTCAGGCGGCCGCCCGGTGCCGGATCCCGGCTCCCGATGCTCTCCCCGTGCCCGCCGCCCCCCGGTGAGGACGGGAAACGCTGCCCGGCGACCGTCGGGTTCGGAGTGGGGAGTGGGGGGTGGTGTGGGGGGGGGACACCCTACCTTCATGTCGTTAATGATGGCCTGGAAGAGCCCACCGAGGGCTCCGCACTCCTTCTCCGCCGTCTCCATCGCTGCGGCAGCCCCGGGGCGGGCGGCGCCGCCGGGGGAGGCCTCGTCGGGGCCAGGCTCAGCGGCGGGGGGCGGCGGGGGGGTCGGGGCGGCGCGGAGGGGCCGGGAAGGGCATCGCCTCCCAGGGCACCCGCCGGGCTCAGCGGGCCCCGACGGCGGAGGAACGGAGAGGAACGGATGGGAGAGCGGAGAGCGGAGCTCGGAGCCCGGGGCGGCGGCGGAGCGGGGCGGAGAGGGGCGGGATCTGCGGCGGCACATGCGCTGCCCGGGGTCTGGGGGAGGGAAGGGGGGGGCGGGTGGGTGGGTTTGGGGATGCTGAGGGTTTAGGGAGGGAGGGGGGAGAGAAGAGAGGAGGGTGGTAGACGGTGCACCCGAGGGATGCGGGGGGTTTTGGGCAGCGAGTGGGGTTGGTTGCGTTGGGAGCGCGTTCCCGAGGGATGCTCGGGAGTGCAGATATGGGGGACACGGGGTGTCCCAAGGGCAGTGCATAGGGGTTTTGGACAGCCCTGCAAAGCAGCTGTGGGGGTGCAGCATCCTCTGGGGCCAAGGATGGGGGGAGATGGGGACGGCGATGCTTGGGGGGTACCAAGGATTGGGGGTGCAGGAGGTGCTTCGGGAGTTGCACCCTGAGCTGCTGGGGGGACTGGGAATGCTTGGGGGTACATGGGGTTGCTCTGGGATGCTCTAAGGGCAGTACTGCACTGCATGGAGAGTCTGGGAAGCAGCTGTGGGATTGCTGAAGGTGGAGCAGTGGGATTTAAAGGGATGCTGAGGACTGGAGGCACAGGGGTACACAGCTACCTACTCTGGAGTAACACCACGGGAACCCAAGGGGTGCTTTGGGGATGCTGGGGGGACTGTTGGGGCTCTGTGGGGCAGTCCTCAACCCCAGCTGAGATCTGGGGGGTCTCCCGAGCTGCAACCTGGTCAATAGCACGCAGCCAACGATCCTATTGCCACAAAAACACCACCCCAATGTCCCAGTAGCACCGCACTGCTCCTCCGGCCAGCACTGGACAAGAACCGTCCATGAGGAAACCATTAGGGCTGGAATTTCTCCCTGTAGAGCTGTCCCTCTGGGGGTGGTGGTGGCAGGTGACACACGGCAGCATCCCAATGTTTCCTCTGCACCCCAAGCAGTGGCAGAGGGCTGGAGGAACCCCGCTGCCCCATCCTGGAGGGACGGCTTTTAAAGTTAACCCGCCATGACCGGGTTTGGAAAGCCCTTTCCTGGGAATGCCAGGAATGTCGTGATCCCATCCAAAGCAGCTCGGAGCGGGGCTGCCTGGGGAACCCGCTGCCAGAGCCATAAACAGGCTGGGGGCCATAAAAGCCCTCTGCATTCCTCCAGCCCCCTCCCTGGGATCAGGTGAGGGCCCGAAATGCTCTGGGAGGGGGACGGGAATGCAGATTAGACCCCAAAACGCAGCCGCCCACTGCATGGTCCTTGGATGCTGGCTTCACCCTGGTTGTTTTGGGGCCAGGAAAATGCCTGTCACTGCGCTGCGGTTCCATGAGCGCGGCCGGGAAGAATTCCGGCTGCTTTTTCCCACTTGGGGTGGAGAAACTCTGGAAGGGGTCCAGCCTAAGGGCCAGCGTGGCAGGGCCGCAGCAGGGACCCCATATGCAGCCTGGGGAGGATTCTGGCTTCTGGGCCTGGATGGGTCCGGTTGGGAGCCCCAACACTACAAGGAGGGAGCAGCCCGGGGAAGGCACAACACGGGCTGCTCTGCATCATTCTTTTTATTTGATGGCAGGGAGCTTAGGATAGGAACAAAGAAGGGATGCGTGGAGCGAGGGCTCTCCTCCGCCCGGCACTGGGATGAGGCTGAGCCTCTGGCTAAGAAAGAGGGGCTCAGGGTGCCGGGATGCTGCCCCGCTCCCTTCCCAGTGGGGAGGACCCACTTTGCTCCCTCCTTCCCTTCCCCGTGCGTTTCTTCCCCTCCGGTCCCACTGGCAGGAGGCCGGGCACTCAGCTGACGGTCACGGGGAAGGCATTAGCGAAGCAAAGTCTGCTCACCCTATTGCAAGAGAAGACACCGTGCCTTCCCCACTCCCTCTCCTCCCGCAGCTTCCAAGCACGACGCCGGGCACAGCCTGGGGTCCCTCACACTGACACAGAGGGGAAAAACCCCGCACCCTCTGCCCTAAAAGCACCGGCATCTCCGCTGTCCCTGTGCCCTGGTCCGTGTTCCCTTGTCCCCGTGCTCAGAGCACGACGCGTCGCTCCGGCTGCTCTGCCCGCCCCGCTCGCTGGTGCCTCACTTCCAGGTGTTTGCTCTGAACCTTGTCAAAGTGCTGCAGCAGCTCCGTGTAGTCGATGGTGGAGGATGCCGGCCTGCGGGAGCTCGTGCTCACCCTGCTGCCGTCCCTGCGGGGAGAGAAGGGATGTGGGCATCCAACACATGGTGCTGAGTCAACGGGCGCAGCCTCTGAGAGAGGTGGTTCCCTCCTGCAGAGGCAGGAGATGCAGTTCCAGAGGGCTGAGTGTTGGGAAAAGGTTTTCCTTCAGAAGAGCAGTGATGCAGTGGCACAGTTGCCAGAGGATGAGGGGGAGTCACTGTCCCCGGGGGTGTCCCAGATGTGGGGATGTGGTCAGTGGGCACGGTGGGGTTGGGCTGGGGTGGGACTTGGGTGTCTGAGGGGTCTCTTCCAACCTTAGCGACTCTATGATAAGCAGGGGAAGGATGGGATAAAGAAGAGGACACACACATCTGGACCCCCAAGATGGGAGAGCCCTGTCTTGCCTCCATTTCCCTCTTTGGTTTTAGGAGAAAGTAACCCGAATTCTCTGATGTTTCGGTGGGGCGGTGGGACAAGGGGCGTCCCCACCACACTCAGCTGCCCCGGGCTCTCCGTTATGAAAGCAGCCTCCGGTGTTTGGAGGAATGTAGGTCAGCGTTAATCAGATGCTCGAGCTGGCTGACAGCTCAGATCGCTCTGAAAACCCGGCTGCTGCGGGAGGAGAGGGAGGGGGGATCACGGGGGGGGGGGGGNAACACACGGCCCCCTCCCTGCCCCACCAATTAGGAGCAGGGCGGTGGGCACCAGCTCCAGCCCTCCAGCGCTAGGGATAAAAGCCAGCCCGGGGGATGAGCTGAAAGCAGAGCAGTGGAGCTGGTGGGGGTCGGATTCATAAAGCTGTGCAGCTCAGGAGCGCTCCTTTTTTCCGGAGCTTTCATCGCGGCGAGCGCACGGCCCTGCTTGTTAGCCAGGGCTGGATGGCCAAAGCCCAGCAGTTGGAGCCCCAGTGTGCCAAAAGGAGCGGGATGGGGGATGGCAATCCCGACCCTGCAGCACAGGGGGGCACAGGGGGCTGTCCCCATCACCATCACCTCAGAGGTGCCCCTGGGCAGCACAGCCATCCCTGCCGGCACGGCGTCACCGCGCCTTTGGGTGCCCGGACGAGGGGGGACGCATTGGGAGCTGCCTCCTCGCTCCGTCCTCCGTGGCTCTGCCTGTTTCCATAGCGACCCCACAAAGTGAAATTTTCCATCCCCGATGCCAAATGCCTGCGGATGAGGCGCAGCCCTCCCAGGGTTACCAAATATAGACAAAAAAACCCCAAGCGAGAGCCGCCGGGCGCATCCCCACCGCACTTACGCGCTCTGCATGAGCTCGGGGTTGGGGACGCACTGCAGGCGGTGGGACAGCAGCTGGAAGGCACTGCTCTGGGGCAGCAGCATCAGCAACCCATAGAGTGCCTTGATCAGGTAGGGGTTGTTCTTCACATCCAGCAGCTGCAGGCGCAGGTCTGCAAGAGGAGAGGAAGGGGACGGTGAAGCACTTTGCTCCCAGTTCCCACTGTCCCAGGTTCCTCCCAACCTGTCGGCATGGCTGCAATTTTGAGGGGTGTTGCACCAGTGATCCCACTGGAATAATTCCTCCATGTGTCTCCCAAGAGCACCTCCTGAGATCCCAGCATCCCTCCCCCATGGCACCTCCCAGCCCAACATTCTGCTCCCTGGGCTCTGTCCCCAGCAGGGCTGCTACCTGGCAACACGTGGACCTGTCACCCCCTGCACCCTTTGGGACTGTGCCATGAGATCAAAGAATACTCCAAGTTGGAAGGGACCCAGAAGGACCATCAAGTCCAGCTCCTGATGTGGATGGCCCCATCATGGGCCTGACCCTCACCTCACCTCCCATCTGCCCCCACCATTCTGATGTCTCCCCATGCCCATCTGTCCCCAACCCCACAATTTAGAGGTTAAGATGAGCAGGTGGGGAACCCTCAAGGAATAACTCAGAGCTGTGCATACCCACCAACACACGTGGATGTCTCACATTGGGGGAAATGAGGCGTGGACCTTGGGGACCAGTGTCCCTGGGCTGTGACAGGTCCATGCCATGTGCCCGGCCCCCCCAATTCCTCTCCATCACTCTGTAGGGCCACTTGCTCCGATAACCCACATTGGGCAGCTCTAGCTGAGGGCTGAGCAGCGAGAAGTCCGATAACTTCTGCTCTATTTCCTCACGCAGTGCTGCTGGGAAGCGTGGGGAGGGGATGGAGGGGCTGGCAGAGCGAGTGCCCCATGCACGGCACAAACCCCAGAGGAAGGAAGGGGCTGAGCCTTACATGTGAATATGGGGCACTCGATGAGCTGCACCAGCTTGTCCACCTCGGTGAGGAAATCCACTGTGACCTCCAGGTCCCCACTGAGCGTGGCTGTTAAGGATGCTGCATGGCAGGAGTTGGCATGGCAGCAGAGTGATGTGTGGGGCAAAGGGATCCCAAATCACAGAATGGTTTGAGTTGGAAGGGACCCTAAAGGCCGTCTGCTCGCACTGCCTGCACTGAGCAGGGACACCCACAGCTCCATCAGTGCTCACAGCCCCGTTCCCTGACCTTGGCTGCCCACAGGGATGGAGCAGCACCAGCTCTCTGTGCAGCCTGAGCCTCACTGCCCTGAGTGTGAACTTCTTCCTTAGCACCAGCCTAAATCTCATTTTAGTTTGAAACCCCTTGTCCCATCACAACAGACCCTGATAACGGGTTCTTCCCTGTCTTCCTACAGGTCCTTTAAATACTGTGAAAGGATAAGCATGTCTGTCTCCTGCACTGTGCCTTGCCACATTCAGACCCAGTGTGTGCTGGGTCTCACTGTGACTCCACTAGTGGAGCCCCTAACCCTGGGAGTACCCAGGGGATGTGTATTATGGCACAATGGGACGTGGTTTGGGGACAGGACTCAGGAAGCCAGACTGATGGTTGGAATTGATCCTGAAGGTCTTTTCCAACTTAGACGATTCCATGACTCAACCTGTGCCATGTTTACAGGAGGTAATGTCCTTGAGTTGTGCCAGAGCAGGTTCAGGGTACATGTTAGGAGCAACATCTGCTCCAAAAGAGCAGTGAGGCAGTGGCACATCTACTCAGGGAAGGGGAAGAGTCCCCATCCCCAGGGGTGTCCGAGAACCGTGGGGATTTGGCACTGAGGGATGTGGGCAGTGGGAATGGTGGGGGTGGTCTGGAGTTGGATTTGGGATCTTTGGACTCGGGTCTTTCCCAGCCTTAATGATTCTGTGACATTCCACCAGAATGTCTGCAGAGCAAGGACAGGGTTGTGAGCTCAGGGAAGGTCCCACAGTACCCCATGCAGAGCCAACAGAGCTGCAGCCCAGCCAGTGGGGCAGGAGCCAGGATTTTGGGGAAGGGAGGTGGCTTGGACCACACCTCTCTTTCCTGTGGCATGTTTGCAGTGAGCCAAGCAGCAGCTCCAAGGGGCTGCCACCCCCAGGAGGGACACATGGGATGGGACATCAGTGTTTGGCCTCCTGTAGCAAGTGGAGGTGAAATGGCAGCACTGCTGACCCCTGGGATGCTCTGGGCTCGGCTTTCTCTGGGTTCTGCAGCTGGAAAAGGAGAAGGAAAGAAACCATCTGCTCTGCTCGTATCACTGGACATCAGTCCTGGAGGCCACAGCCTCATCTTCCTGGGAGGAAGGAGGTGTGGGAGCCTCCCCTGCTCTAAGGCAGATCAGGGTCAGCACTCAGCCACCACCGCCTTCCTCTTCTCACTCCACAACAGAAAAAAGGGAAAGGGAGGTGGCAGGCACCCAGCAAACTGCCCTGTCCTGTCACCATGTTGCCACGTGGCTGGCACGGGGATTCAGCCCCTGGTGAGGTGAGGGTCCCCAGCTGCTGCTCTGAGCCCCCCAGATACTCCAGCCAATAAAAGCCCAAAGGATACAACTTCTGGATGAGGTCGTAGGCGTGCTTGTAGTTCTGGGTGAGGAAGCAGAGGGACACGGTGGTCACTGGGTTGTGGCACCAGGAGCGGTACAGGCAGCAGAACAGGTTGCGGCTCTCCTGGGGAAAGAGGAAACCATGGAGGAATGGGAGTGATGAAATGCAATGGGGACATGGCACAGAGCAACCCGTGCTCCCTGCACCCACTGCACACCCAGCCCTGCGAGTGCTGGTCCCAGCTCTGCCACAACACAAAGGGATATTTCCCCACCGCCCAGCACCAGTGCTGCTCAGAGCCCTTGGAAGATGGTTTTGGGGTTGAAGATGAAATTCTAGGGTCGCTCAGACCCTTGGACACTGCCACTACTGGTGGGCTGCAGCTGCTCTGGGCACTGTGGTGTTTTGCAGGGAGGAACAGCTGCAGAGTGGTGGGACACCCACTCGCTGTCACCCACGTGAGCATGCAGGGAGGGAGCTGGCAGCTGCTGGGGGGCTCAGGGGCTGTGATCAGCTTACAGGCTGGGGACAGAGCCTGCTGTGCAATGGGGGAACAGCAGGAGGTGGGCACATCCTCCAGCCACTCACTACACTCCATGGGGACCTGCATATGCCTCAGTTTCCCCATCTGTTTAATGGAGCAATTTGGTCCCTGTAGCTCCAGCCTTGGGCTCTGAGCTCTCAGCTCCCTGCCACCCTTGTTACCCCCCAGTGGGAGACCCGGTGCCCATACCGGTGTCCTCAGGTCCTTCAGCTGGTTCCTCAGCTGGAAGAGCTCGGAGGAGGTGAGCAGGATGGTGTTCAGTGTGTGCACCATGGTGGAGGCAAACTTGAGGTCCTCCTCCCGCAGCAGGATGTCCGCCATGGAGTGGAAGATGTTCTCTGCGTTCAGAAGCAGACAGAGCTGCCTGTGTGTCACAGAGGGGAAAAAAAAAAACAAGAGGGGAAGGATCACATCACATCCTTCCTGCAGGGGTGACATGTGGGGACACCCGGGGTTGATCCAGCTTTTGGGGCTGCATCCGATAGTGGGGGATGCGTAGGGAGAGAGCACAACCAAGAGACAACCAACAGGACCTTGCAGTTGGGCACCGCTGGAGCCAAAACCCCAAAGTCAATGGACAAAGCTCTACCACCCCATAAGCTACCCCTCTGTTCTTCGAGCTCCACGCTTTGACTCCCAGGACACTGGGGAAACTGTGACTGGAGCAGAGCCCAGTGCAGTGCCCGGAGGGTGGCTGTGCCCCCACAACAGGAATGTTCTGCTCCATAAACAGAATTCCCAAGGTTTTAAACACTGGAGAGATGAAACTTGAAAACCCGCGTTATTAATTATTTTTCTTCCTCCTTTGTTTGGATTTTAGGATTTCCTGTTTTTCTCTGGCGTGGCTCTGAGCTCCCGCATTCCTGGGCGGTTTGCATGAGGACACCCAAACCAGCATCCGTGAGGACACCCAAACTGGACGGGGCACTGAGAAATGGGGTTTTTGTCCCCAAAGAGGGGTGCTCCCAGCTCTGGGTCCTGTTGAGCTCCTCTCCCAGCCCTCACAATGGGATGCTCTGTGTGGGGTTTACGTAACCAAACCCAGCCTTCGCCCTGGCCTGTGTTAGAATGGAGCGGGCAGTGATAAATAAGCTCATTTATCCCAATTATTCTTACGTAACTGGGCTGCATTCATGGGATGAAGCGTTCTCACCGCCTGGGCACGGGACTGTGTGAGGGAGAGAGGCAGTGAGGGAGGGATGGGGATGGGAGAGCAGCCCCGGAGATGTGCTCAGCATCCTCCCCGCGGCCAACGGAGCTCCTGGAGCACAGTGGGGAAAGGGCAAGCAGCCCATGAACTGCAGCGCCTGCAGCCAAACTGGGAGCTGCTCTGGCTATGGGGTGCCTACAGCTCCACTGATGCCCTTGGACCACGCATGCCAAAGCAGTGCCCCAAAATACAATGGGTCCTCTGGGGATGAACACTTTCTGGGCTGTGTTAACCCATCCCAAGAGCACCCCGTGGCTCCATGCAATGCAACAGCCTCAAACAGACATTGCTGTGAGCAGAAGGGACAACGCTGCTGCTGTGCCAACTGACCCCGAAGTGCTGCCCCCAGTCCCAGTGTTGTAGGGCAGCCGAGGGATCTCCTTCCAGAAATAGAAGCTGGATGTTTCTGCTTTTGATTAGCAAGAAAGGGAGCAGCTGGTGCAGTGTTCATACCCACTCGGTGCTGCGGTCCGACCCTGAGCTGGCTCTGCAGTGCTGCCGGGGCTGTGTTGTCCCCTTGTCCCCACATCCCTGCCCCAAACTGCTCCCTGGCCCTGTGGGTTGGAGGGGAAAACTGCCCGGCCCCACAGCTGCTGTGACAGCTGAGGCTGAGCACCAGTGAGTGGCACAGGAACGGCCCCAGGAGGATCCCAGCGGCGCGAGGGGAACGCGGTGCCCATAGGAGGGCAGGGCTGGGACAGGTGGCTGAGATGCCGGGGGGGTGCTGAGGGTGGGATGGGGCTGCAGGCAGAGCTGGGAGCCCCAGTGCCATTCCCAGCCCCTTGCAAGCCATTCCCAAATATACACAGCCTGGATAAATATAGCCCAGATATATATAGCCACGTATATATGCCCCAGAGGAGGACGCAAAGCCCTGCTCTCCCAGCTGTGGGAGCACCAAGCAGCACCCGCAGCTCTGCTCCCTCCTCCTCAGCTTCCCCTCTTACGGGTCACCCCATCACCTTTTGCTCTGATTCCCACCGACTTCCCAGGCAGACACTTTTCCTGCAGAGACACAGCCAGGTGTGATTTGCTTTTTTTAGCAGCTCGACAGCTTAAAAACTCGGGTGGTGATCACGCTGCCTGCAGCTCACCCATCCATCCCCCTGCTGCTAAATGGGATGCTGCCTGTGCAGTGCTGTGACCATGCAGGGACGCGGCTCATTGCCCTGAAATGTCATCCCCGTGAATGCCACCACCCTGTCCCCAGGGGAAGAAAAGCAAGGTGTGGGGCAGCCCTGGAATCTAGTTCTCCTGGGATCAGAGCCACAAGTCTACGTAGGGCCAACACAACACCTGGAAATTGGGCTCATCCAAGGTGATGGGGAGCCCTTTGGGACCACTTGTCAGCTCTGCCCATGCCAGAGCAAGGCAGTGCCCCTCCGTGCTTCCTTCCCACCCTCCTCTTCCTGCACTCCCTTCCCCTCTACAAAGGCTCCTTGCTACCCTTCCTCTCATCCTCATCCTATTCCTGCCAGGAAAAGCAGCATCCCAGGGAGCTCCACAGCTGGGATCCCTTAGGATCCCTTAGGATCCCAGCAGGAGCAGCCTTTGGGGCGCAGATAGAAATGGGATGGGGAGAGGAGAGGGAGGAGAACACGGGGAAGTCGTGAAGATGTGGTTTCCCGGATCCCCCTTCCCTCGCTGTGATGGTGCAGATGGAAATCACCATTTTTTCGGGTGGAAATCATGGCTCTCCATTTTACCAAATGGAAATCACTGCTCTCCATTTATCCAGAAGGAAACCACTGCCCTCCATTTTTCTGGATGGAAATCACTGCTCTCCATTTATCCAGATGGAAATCATGGCTTTCCATTTACCCAGATGGAAATCACAGCTCTCCATTCCCCCCTTCCCCACTCCCCTTTGCCGAATCTGGCTGCAGGGCAATGGAAACCATGGCAACTGCAACGACGGCTCGTGCTTTAAAAAATTCATCATGCTTCACATAGGAGATTCCTGGGTGCTTTGGAAGCATCTGCTGGACGTCCTAAAGCACGGCCTGGTTGGGGATGAGTGTGGAGCTGGGAGCCGTCCCGGCTCGCTCAGGATGGCCACAGAGCCTGCTGGAGCCAGGGAGGCAGCGAGAGCAGCAAGCAGGATTGGTGCCAGCTGCCTCTGTTTTCATGTGGCTTTTGGACTCTCCTTGATGTCTCACCGTGGAGGCCCCTGGGCATCAAGGCTTGCTTTTCAGGATGTCAGGTCAACCAGGAGTAAGAGCATGTGATCAAAGGCTGCGAGTGCATTTTGGGGAGACCTGGAAAGCCTCGTGTTTTTTTTTTTTTTCCCAGCTGGTGCTCCACCACCATGAGATGTTCCCAGATTGCTACATCTCTGATGCCCCATTTCCCTGGGTGCCGCTCTCCTCTCATGGCACCAACATGGCACGTTCAGCTGCAGGATCAGCCAGGAAGAGGCACTCAGGCTCTGCCCCCGGATCTCGAGCAGTTGCAGACAACCCCTGAGATGCTTCTGCTCCAAAAGGAAAAAGCGTGGAGTGTTTCATTGCAAACAAGAAAACCCTCCCACGGTGCTCCTGCTGCCGTTAGTGCAACAACTGCTGCACGCCGCCGTGCCAGCTCTGCTCTGAGCCTCCATAACACCACGTTGTGTGACTGCACAATCCCCATTTCCTGAGAACAGCAGGTGAAATGCAGCCTGCTCCATGCATGTGGAGCTGCTTGCTGCTCCCAGGCACCGGGATTGAGGTTACAATGGGAATGGATCCAGAGAGATCCTTGGCTCAAAGGGGAGCAGAGCATCTCTGCAGTTCCTCCCCAGAAGCCTCTCTGCTTGCATTTGCTGGGTCTGGAGATGGGCAGAACCATGCAGAGGTAGAGGTGAGTTGCTGGGCTTGGAAATGAAGCACGGAGCCTCAGCCCTTTCCTCCCTGTGATGCTCCTCTTTGATGCCACACCACTTGGGAACCCCCAGCGACTGGAAGAGCCAAGGAACAGCAAAGCAAAGGCAAGCACCAGCCTGCAATCCTTGTGGAAGGGTTTGGCAAGGAGCAGTCCATCCTCAGACATGGGCAGTGCAATGTCTTGATGAGCTCCAACACAACGGTGCCCTTGGAAGAGGTCACCTGTGGTTTGCAAAGCAGATCTCCAACCCTCCAGCTGCTCATTTGACCCATGATCACCACAGCTCCATCTGGGAGCAAGAAACAGTGCTGCACCATGGAGAAAGAGTTCACACAGAAGGTGATTGACTGTTGATGTCCTCCGGGATGGGCTGGCAGCTAAAAATAACTGAATTTGGGAAGTTAATGGGCTGCTCAGCCCAAGGCATCGCTGAGCCTTTACATGGATGTGACAGCTACAGGTGAAGGCCACTGGGCACATGCCCACCAGCACACACCCAAGGAACCCCACAGTGACCCACAGATGACATTACCAGGCTGCAGAGCTCCAGGGTGCTGAGCTGAGCACCTCCAGGATGCTCTTCCCCCGCTGAGCCCGCAGGAAAGCAAAACACCCCACAAAGCCTGCAGCATCCCTTCTGATTTGTGAACCCTCTGACAGTAAAACCAGCAGCAGGACCTGGCAGCACGATCCCAACCGTGTGTTCGCAGGGCTCCTATGGCACATGCCTGGCAGGGCTGAAACCTTGGCTCTGGCCACAACGTGCCTGCCAGGACAGAAACCCTGGCTGCAGTGTGTGCTGCAGAGTGCAGTGACTCAGCCCCAGCAGCTGCTGACCCCCAGGGCATGCACACATACAACGATGATGCTTTCGGGTTTTCACCTCTTTCCTCTTCCACGTGAAGGGTTTGGAGGAAGGGCAGGGGGTGGGAGATGCGTAAGGCATCTCCGAAGATCTTTCCTTTGAGATGCGTGCTTCCCTTTCAGGCTGACAGCTGTGGCCTAATTTTCACGAAAACTGACAAGAGCCTTATTTCTCCCCCTGTAATTTCTTTCCGCCGCCAATAAAATAGGTTAAAGGAGCGGGCGCAGCGCTGCGCCGGGAGCTGGGGGAGGATGCTCCACTTTGGGGCGTGCACAGATTGCTGAGGTGGGAGCTGGGGCTGCGCTCACCTTCTGCATTGCTTTTCCCATGGAAGGAGAAATAAAAGCACTCTGATTCCTTCCCATGGATCTGTGACCAAGGAGCGGATTGCTGCCCTAGAGGCACCACGGTCGATGAGGACCCA